TATGCAGGTAAAACTAGAGGTTGCATATTCGCTAGGAGTAACCTTAACCTTTTCCTACTACCTAATTACAGTGACGAAGACAACGTAACAGCGAGCCTAGAAGGTCCAGGCGGACCTCTAAGGATCTATTAGCTATAAAGAAGGTTAGTGCAGACCAGCGAGCACGATAGCACGGGCCTAATCCTGGATTGCGTCGCAAACGCCCATCATCATCAGTGGGGTAGCACCGCCGCAAACGAACGGGGTAAGTTAATTTTTAATTTCATCCTTTTATCAAATCTCCTGGTGGGTAACATAGGTAACGAGCCTTCGTGCATAACGTAAATCGCAGTGAGGTCCTTTCTCTCACCCATTTCTCTGACTCAAATCTGTTGATCGTAAAATCATTGCGAGTGCTGCAGAAACACTCTTTCTGTGATCTTGGAACATAGAATGAGTCATTAGCCATATATTCGCCATATTTAGAAAAAAAAAATTGGCCTCGAATTCAGACACCTGTTACTTAGCTCAAAGGAGGGCGAGAAAGATTGATGGAAAGATGCTGCATGCATATCAGCAAACACCCCACCTAGCGTATATTACTACGCCACCTTTAGGAATATTCCTATAAACGCTAGATGGCGTGCTAATGTGGTGTACAATCTCTAATTATTGATTGTTATTTGGTTTAAATTTATTAACGAATGGACCGATTTTAAAAACAAGATCCACTTTACGCTTTTACTAAATTCTGAAGTGTGGGCGCTAGAAATGGGCGTTTGTGGGCGTTAGAGTGTTCATTTTATATAATGTATTAAAGTCATCACTCGCTTCATGAGTACCTACGTATTATTTTTTGATTTCCAACAAATTTCCTTGGTTTACCAAGAGTTGGGTCGACTAAAAAATGTAAGGTCTAGACTCTCCAAAAAGTTGAGTTTCCAGATCACAGTCTATCTTTTATCCGAAATTCAAGTGCGCGGTCTAATCACCCGGGGATGTATAAAATATTTAGCTCGTTGCAAGAAGCAGATTACACTGGATCTGGAAAATTTTTATAATTTTGTTAAATGGAGGCGTACATCTGCCAGTTATCGCTAAAACTTGAAAACTTGGGCGCAAATACAGATCAGGCAAAAGCCAATCTTTTTGCGCAGCTTATTCAAACGACTTGGTCAGCTTAAAGTCTCCCAGATCAGTTATAATCATAAAAGTGAAAGCTAACCTCCTTTAGTATATTCTCCGGGAACTGACGGAGTGCAGGGCTGTGTGGTCAGGAACTGCGTGAGACCCTATCTAGAATATTGCATAAATATTTTCCCTAGCATTTACAATTTTTCATCCAGGTCGGAAACGCTTCGTTACATAATTTTCCCTTTTTACTCGAAGAGTAACACGGATAAACAGACTGTAATACTACGATCTAAATCTACTACACAAGTAATTTAAAAATTGTAGTAATACAACGATTAACATTTTGATATACACTTATAAATATTCCCGTGGTTAGTGTAATATATTATCTTGTCGCAGAAAGGTTTATTATTTTCAATAATTAAAGTAAATGTATTAAAAATAATAAAATTAACATTAAAAAGTAAATAAACAAAATAAAAGGATTTAAAAAAATAAAATTAAAATTAAAGATTAGCTTAATTAGTGTTGGATGTGTTTGCTTTGATGATTTTTCAGCTTTCCTGTCCGCCGAAAAGTACTTTCCTAAGAGCAGAAAAATTTTGTTTCGGTTTTTGTCAAAATACAAACACTAAAGAAAGATTTTTAGATTTTTGATTGCATTATAAACAACCGAGTTCCTATAAAAGAAACTGTAAATTGTTTTTAGTATATTTTCAACCCTTTCTTTGCTCTTCTAAAGCTCATTTTATAATTCAAGCTACAAGATAAATGGTTGTTGTGGCATTGCTTTTGGTAAGTTTTGATGTCTATATGACCTTTTACCAAATTTAACATTGGCTCTCTTCGATCCAATTATCAAGCTCAGTCCCTAACTTAGCAAAGACAGTTTTTATTTTTTCACTCGTGTTAGGGGTCTGAACGTTACTAGATCAGAATCACATGAAAGTGTACCAAAATAACAGTTGGGACCTGTGTCCCTGTGTCTTAGAAATTTAAAATACCTTATAGGCAATATAATTTTAAACATCTTAACGAAAATTGCATAAACTTCAATTACAATTTTGTGGAAAAAAGTGCTTTGCGAGCTCACTAATGTGAAATACATTTTGTTTCGTGATACTATTTTTGATTATTATTGTTTATAGGTATATAATTATAACTAAGGCCGTAACTAAATAGGATGATCCTATCGTTCTGAAGAATTCGCAGTTGGCTAATTTTTATTCTTTAGGGGAGGAGTGAACTGACGTTCCTCTCCTTTACACCAAAACATCAGAAGAATTCGCGGTTAATTTATTTGTGATCGTTCTGTTGAGCTTGCCTAACCAGTCTTTTAAAGTTACCAATTCTTAAGCAAGGTTATGAAAACTGCGGTTCATATCCTTCTTGGAATTTTATGGACAACAAGGTAGGCTTTTAAAAAAGCAATGGTTAATTAAATTAACACCAATTTATTTTGACTTATGGTTGACTTTCGTACTTTTGACTTCACCTTTTTTATTATAATAAAATTTTGTACGTAGTCGTAATAGACCTCAAAGCGTTACTATTTGTATACTTTTGCAGGGGTTTAATGATTTCAGTTAGTAGTTTGCAACGCAGTGAAGGAGACGTTTCCGACCCCATAAAATATATATATTCTTGACCAGCATGACTAGACGAGTGGATCTAGCCGTGTCCGTCTGTCAGTCCGTTTCTACGCAAACTAATCTCTCAGTTTATCAGGCTGAAACTTTTCCAAAAGTATTATTTCTTTTGCAGTAGTATAAGTCGGAACCAGCCGGACCGGACAACTATATCTTATAGCTCCCATAGAAATAATCGGAAAATAAATTTTAAAAAAAAGGGAGAACGCTATAGTCGAGTACCTCGACTATCAGATACCCGTTACTCAGCTAAAGGACCAAAGGGAAATGCAGATATGCAAGCAGCAAAGCGAGATTAAAATGCGCCACTTACCGGCGGTAGACAGATTTAAGCGTTATGGGCGTTAGAGTGGGCGTGGCAAACTTTTTTTTTTAATCAATCGATAGGTATTGACGAGACCAATATATTTCAGTTAAAATTTTTTATCTAGCATGAAAATTGTGGGCGTCACAGGTTTGGGCGGTTTGTGGGCGTTAAAGGGGGCGTGGCAAACTTTTTTTTGGGTCAATCGATAGGTATTGATGAGAGCAATACATTTCAGTTAAAATTTTTATTATAGCATAAAAATTGTAGGAGCCACAGTTTTGGGCGGTTTGTGGGCGTTAGAGTGGGCGTGGCACTGTGCTGAAACATACTTGCGCTGCGTAAGAAGCTCAGGAATCTGCACGCCAAATCTTAATAGCCTAGCTCCTATAGTTTCCGAGATCTCAGCGTTCATCCGGACGGACAGACAGACGGACAGACGGACATGGCTAGAACGACTCGGCTAGTGATCCTGATCAAGAATATATATACTTTATGGGGTCGGAAACGCTTCCTTCTGCCTGTTACATACTTTTCGACGAATCTAGTATACCCTCTTACTCTACGAGTAACGGGTATAATTATATCTTTGGTGTTTTTAACATATAACCTCCTAAGCTTGGAAATAACACTTTGTTAATTAGTTTTGAATTTCGAATTTAATTTTATCAAAATCGGACGACTATATCATAAAGCTACCATAGGAACGACGGGAAAATTGGTGGGAAAATAATATAAACAAATTATACCTTCGGTGTTTTTTGACATATTATCTTATACTATTGGGAACATCATTTTTTGTATTTTTAAATTTAATAATTATAACTGCAAGGGTATACAAACTATGTCTTGCCGAAGTTAACTTCCTTTCTTGTTATTACTAGAAAAGTCAAAACACATTTAACATAAAAAGACACTTTTACCAGACTCTGAAAGGTAAAGTGTTTCAGAAAAACAGGATCCCAAATAGAGCAAACAGAAATGCTCAGTGTCTGAGCGAGACACTTTGAAAGAAAAAACACATTGAGAGTGTCTTTCGATTCAATTTTTCATAGGTTCCTAAGGTAACTGATCTTTTTCGGACACCTAGTAATCTGGGGAACTCTTTTGATTTAACGAATTTTGCAAGTGACGTAAATGAGCTCAAATGTAGTGTTTTTTGAGTACAAATTGGTCAAATTTGAAGGGGCATAACTTTTACAAAAAAATCGGTGCATGGCTGCAGGTAAAACTAAAGATTGCATCCTCGCTAGGAAAGCCCAACCTTTTCCTACTACCTATTTCCAGTACGATGACAACTGAACAACGAGCTTAAAATGTCCAATTAACCTCTAAGGACGTACTGAGCTTACATGGGTCATTGCAATTGCCTTCACAGGCAAGACCGCTAGCCACGGTAAGGGAGTCTGAAAGAGATGTTTAAGCTTAAGTGATCAGGAAGTTCGGTTCATCGGTTGTCGGAGGTTGTGAAGTGCTCGACAGAGGTGCAGTAATATTACTTTTAGTAGGTCCGAAATTCAAGAACTAGGTAGGAGTCTACTTCACATAAATTGGACTGATCACCTCTTTAAGACTTCCTGATCACTTTATCTTTTTCCAGGCGAAAATTTTGGCTATCAAGTAAACACTGTTCAATCTAATAGCCTCAGACACTTCCCGATCTGTCTGTATCTACTTAGACAGTTAGGCAACACTTTGTCTGATATAGGCTCTTGTGGGTGGCTCACCATTACCACCACCGCGTAACCTAACCTAACCTAACTCTTTAGATCTTAAAGTTTCAAAGATCACAGCGTACATATGAACAGACAGACGGACATGTGTAGATCGACTAGGCTAGTGAAAAGATAGAGTATATATAGTTATAGGGTTAAAATATTTGAGAAATTTGACTGTCCCAACACACCTTCGCTATTTAAATAAAAATACATAAATTACCTGTATATAATGACGTTTTCAGGTAGATTGCCATTCCTTTTTTGATATAATTTTAAAGCAGTTTCAAAAGAAGCAGTTAGCCCATTCACAATTTCTTCACTTTTTGCTTGTACGACAGCCTTACTATACCAACGGGTGTATGACGAATTCAGAGACGCCACAAATGCTGTAATACACAAAATTATTTTATAAATGTTAATAACTTTTTGAAAGTCAAAATTGCAAAATGAAAACGAAAACGTATTAACAAAAAATAAAAATGAATCAGATATGAACATGTTACTCGAAGAGTCGATGGTTATATTGTATTCGGGACAAATTGTAACACGTAAAAGAAAGAGTTTTCGACCCTCTAAAGAATATATGGGGCGTTCTTTTACAAACCGAACGCCTATTTTTGGGTCACATGTTTAATTTGCCTTAAACATTTCTTAGGTATACGTAAATAATTAATCATGTGTATGAGATCTCGGCCGAAAAAAATTATTTTTTTAGGTAAAAAAATGTAAATTGAAAAAATTGATAAATTTTGTTTCAACATCTAAAGCTTTGGTCATAAAAAAAACTGAGCTCAACCGCACTGCATTGGGCACGAAAATCGATAGATAGTTGCAAATTATTTCAGCAATGTTTGGAAAATAACAATTAACATATTTATTATTATCAGTTCAGTTTGCACTCCAGGTCTTATGAACAAAAACAAGGAAGAACGCTACAATCGAGTACCTCGTCTATCAGATACCCGTTACTCAGCTAAAGGGAAATGGAGATATGCAAACAGCAAAGCGAGATTGAAATGCGCCACCTACAGACAGACAGATTTAAGCGTTTTGAGCTTTAGAGTGGGCAAACTTTTTTTGGGTCAATCGATATATATTGACGAGACTAATAAGTTTTAGTTAAAATTTTTTATCACGAAAATTGAGGGCGCTACTGGCTTAGGCGGATTGTGGCCGTTAGAGTGGGCGTGGCATATTCGCGTAACAAACTTGCGCTGCGTACAAGGCTACGCAATCAAAACCTGAAATCCCAATTCTCTATCTTTAATAGCTTTCGAGATATCCGCGTCATATTGTACTAATATAAACTATAAAAATTATAATAATAATAATAATTATAAAAACAATATAATTATAATTATTATATAATATTATGCGTGTTACGTACGCCCTCCACATAGAAAGATTCACATAGAGAAACAACGACGAATCTTTAGCCAGGGGGAGGGGTGCATGTGACTAACCAGACTCATACTGGTAAAGGCAGAAGAAAAAGCAATTCGGCAATTCTCGGGTGTCGCGTGACCAGAACAACGGCCACTATCGACCTATTGGTAACCATACTCCGGTAGCTGGCAAAGGGCAACAGCCGGCCGTTGACTACCAACATAGCAGATATCAAGAAACAGTAATTCTAGGTGGGAACACCTAGCCACAGCCAAGTAAAAGCTCTAGTCTGGTATAAAACACCTTAGACAAATAGAGAAAGGGAGAGAATTCATTTGGGTGTCTTGCTGACGGAAGCCGCTATTGCCATCAAAGAACGTGGAGAAGATCAACAATAAGGACGACATCCGACATACTGCGATGTTTGTGGACGCAGTATCAGTGATCTCCATGCTCCTGAAATTTGTTCAGCTGTAGGAACCATCCGTTCAGAGCGTAGCGACCAATATCATACGACGGAGAAAGTAGTTATGCAACATAAATGTGTTAATCGAGCTAACCAAAGCTAAAGTGAACTCATGCATAACCAAAGACCAATATCCTCAAATAATACAATTGGATAACAAGTGAAAATCAAGCATTCAAACATGCACTGAAATATATTTAAACCAACCGAATCAATAGACAAAGTGCGAATCATGATAAACAAATAGAGAGGACAAATCTCTCCACCAGCCGTTGAAGAAGTCGCATGCCTGTGGCATAATATATATATATTTTGTGTTTAAGTGAATTGGTATACTTAAGAACAGCCGTATTTTGGTGCACGTATATTTATATATATATATCCAATATAATATTTTCCCAAAGCCCAGGATCCGGAGCGTCGAGATCTCATCGCCCAGGATTTAAAGAGGGGGTAAGTTTGTCGGGACACGGTTCCTTTCTTATAAACATACATATATAAATATTCGTGCAGTATCCTACAGTTTTATAGACTACTATAAACTTTTTCAGCGGCGAGTATCAGCCTTGTAGTTATATGATAATTGCAAGAGTCCTATGAGCGACGTTTGTAGTCGTGAATAGTCAGTATTTTGCTGATGTGTGCACCTTCATAGGTGATAAATTCGATACTTTCCGCTAATACAATAATTGTCAATTAATTTAATCCCTATATGAATTAGCCAATATTATGTTATTCAATCCCGGCACACGCCGACATAAATATTATTTAATAAATTTATAATGTGAAACAGAATTCTAAACATGGTGTGCTAGAACTCTAACAAAGGGGGTGTGCTGACGCGAGGAGTGAAGTAGGTCAAGAACAATGACATAACTTTCGACGGACAACCTTGACAATAGGGGATCGTATTGCGCGGCCCGCGACGATCCATTGGCACACGAATGTGTGAAGGGGAGGGAATATGGCCAAAACACAGCCCGATCTTATTGCGATCAAGCGACAGCTAAGCTTGTTGGGCAGTGTGGACTGATGACTGACGAAATTGATGACTATTATTATTTTTCCAGGCACTTTTAATATTTATTCTCGTTATGTTGGAGAGGAGAGAGGCTTACCAAGATCCCACGACCCGAATACGACGTAGCTTATGCCGGCAAATGGTGCCTGAACATCGGACGCCTCTCCCTCGGCCCAAGTCCTTGTCAGGACTCGGGCACTAATATGCCCACGTAACAGAATTGGCGCCCAACGCTAGGACATTTCATATTCCTTAAGGAATTTTACCAGGGTCCACAACCTCGATGCCTGCGGTATCGGAGTGGATGTACCTAGGGATGGCAAAGCTTTCATCTTTGTTTGCCATGAGTAACTTGACTGTCTTATAGAGCAGGGAACTTAAATAATTTTAAATATGCACCTTTTTATTTGTTTTTGTCTTTAGATTAATAACCGTAAAGTCCCCAACTTCTGTGACTGTCAGTGTTGAGTGGCCACTCAATCAGAACTTTGTCGCAGAATAGAGGCCTTACTTTGAAATGATTTGTAACCTTAGAAATTCCCTGTTTTGTTCATGGACAAATTTACCAGAATTTCCTTAAAACAAGAACTATGAGTTATCCTTTTTATATTACTATACCTACAACTAAGTGTCGACGACTACTTGTTAAAATTAACGTAAATACAATTTATAGGTGCTTTCTGGCCGACGCCACACGACGTACTACGCATTTGCTCGGTCGTTTGAATTGGTTCGAGTCCAGAAAGAGCAGGAGCGCAAGCATTACGGTAACGCATTTAGCAGTTGCTGTGCGGGTCTACTGTTCGTTTGTCGATCCAGGACAGAATGTGGGTGGGTGAACTGACAGGAAACGCAAAGCCGACGCCCTACAACCTACTAGGCATTGGTCCGGTCGTTTGCTTGGTTCGAGTCTTTGCTGTTTCCCTTGACATATTTGGGCGGTGGACGGATTTTTAGTTGGTCCGGTCGTTTGCTTGGTTCGAGTCTTTGCTGTTTCCCTTGACATATTTGGGCGGTGGACGGATTTTTAGTTTCTCTGGTCCGGTCGTTTGCTTGGTTCGAGTCTTTGCTGTTTCCCTTGACATATTTGGGCGGTGGACGGATTTTTAGTTTCTCTGGCCGACGCCCCACAACGTATTAGGCTAGTTGGTCAGGTCGTTTGCTTGGTTCGAGTCCAGAGAAATAGGAGACGGTTGTGGAGCCCGAGAATGATCGGTCAAATAACTTGTTTTCCGACGACTGGCGGGAGGGGGTTTTTGGACAGATTCCTTATCTAAACACAGCCATTCCGTTTGGAACATTTGAGCTGAATATAAAGGGAAAGTAAGGGCATGATAGCTTAGCGGAACCGCGTTGTGTAGAAGCGGCTAACACGCCTAGTTAGGGAAATTTATTTTATTTTTGTTTGGGGCTTACATATCGGACGGTTCTTGACCGAAGAGAAACTTGAGAAGCAGAGGGAAGCACCCCCAGTTGATAAACATTCTTATTGTCGACTTATTCAGCGTTTACGTCGCTGACCGGGTATTTTGAAAAGAATCACGTAAAGCTTTTATACCAATCGTATAAATGAAGGGGGTCAAGAAGAAGGTCTTATTCCAACCCAGCACCGGAAGAGTGACCCGGGCAACAACGCGCGGTGAAAACCACCAACCCCGCAGTGCAAGCGCGCCAAGGCTAGGAGATTCACCTGATAGAGAGCCGTGGGAGCGCGCACAGGATCAGCCAGGACAGGTAGATACCCTGTCTGAAGAAAACTACCTGGACCAATATTCTGAAATGGAAGGAGCCGCCGGAGGGGAGAATCTACCCCTAGGACCGCCGAAAGGAAGATCAAGTATGCTTCCCCAATTTCAGAGGCACGAGGAGGACAACTTAGAGGCTGCTGAGCGACGTGAACAAAGATTGAAGGAGCTCTTAAGGCAAAGCAATGAAAAAATGCAGCGTGGGATGAGTGCCCAGATAGAAGCGCTGAAAGCACAGATAACAGAATTGCAGTCTCCGACAGCCAGGAGATCCGAACAGAAGGGACTGCCTTCGCCGCCCCGTACTGTCCCGAATTCAACGGACAGCTTTTTGAGATACCAAGAGACCCCGCCTCTGGAACCGGTAACACAGGACATGCTCAACAGCCAGATTCACCGGTTAAGAACACCCAGGCGGATGGACACCCCATCACACAGGCAGTTCAGAACAAACGAGAGGGAGTCGAGTCACCAACTGCATCCAGAGATCGATCGGAACTCATCATTCCAAGGACCGCGACCAAAAGATGTCAGATTGGACAGATGGAACCTAAAGTTCGATGGAAGCGGACGCGGCATGACAGTTGAGAGTTTCCTATTCCGCGTGGACCGACTACAAGAATTGTATGACCTCAGCCGTCAACAAGTCTTTCGTGAATTCCATCTTCTGCTGGCAGGTGCAGCCACGAAATGGTATTGGCAGCTTATGGAAGACAAGGCAGAGGATTACGACTTTGACTACTACTCATTGACCCAAGAAATGAGACG